TTTGCAAACCGCCCCCGAACCTTTGAGCAAAGTGACCTTAATTTTCCACTGTCTCTCGCTGCGGCGCGCTCTTCCTCTTCCGGAGTTTCTTATCGGACGCCTCCTTCTGTTGTCACCCCTGGCGATGAGGCCTTCCTTCCCCAGTCCGGCATGTATCAAATGTCAAAAAGCTCTCTCAACCTGGCAAGCGTTGAGAAGGCTGATGCAGAGGCCGTTTTCGCCCCAGGAGCTTATGAAGTTGACTGTGATGGCGAAGAGAAAGCTTTCCTTGTAAGTACATATGTTGCATACTTTTATTGTGTTGCCTTGATCTTCTGGTTAAATGGATCTTCCTATTTCGTGTTCTGAAAGGCGATCACTAATAATTACCTCCAAAAGAATATTAGATAACTCGTTCTGCCTAACTATATTAGTCTTTGCCTCCTTGTCCTTTAACACTTCTGTTTAGTTCGGATATCATTTTCAAATAGGATTCATAAACTAAAATCTTGTCAGGTTCTGCTTTCATAACCTTGTATTGACCACTGTTAGCTGTGTGCGCTTAAATACTTTTGTTTTTAAGATAGAATGCTTAATCAGCACACGTTTCTTGATAGGGAATAGGATTTCATTTGTACTCTCTTAGAGTTGACGGCCGGTAGCCATTTTTAATGAAATGACGGGAGTATTTGGGTTTCAAAGTGTGTGTAAGTCATATACTGAGTTAAGTCTTGATCTGTTTTGATATTTTGTTCTGCATTATTTGCTAGCATGAAGATCAGAAGGCACTTTCATATGGCTATTACTTTGATTTGCTACGTCTACGTAGAACGTATTCACGATTTACTCGTTCTCGTCAGCGATTTTCCGCCTCTGCCCTTACGGTGCATTATTTGTCGCAAGATGTAGTTTATTAGACTAGAAATATAGTGCGTTTCAGCTATCTGGTGAAGTAGGACGGCATTTGACGGTTTCGTGTAATATTAAACTGTTTTCGACCCAACGTCATGCTTCTCAGTAGCGAGGAATTTCCCATCTGGAAGCGATCCGCGGGCCCTTCCTTATTAAGGAAAATGTGCGTAACTTCTAAATATAGATAGGACATTTTATCTTTGTTTTTGGTGCCTGCCAAAAGGTACTTCCTAGTGACTTGTACTGAAGACTTTTACACGTTCGTAGGCTCTTTAAGACAGCAAACACTGCGGTTCAGTCGAGGCTTGCTTTATCATGGCAACCGCATATGCAGTCTTTCGTGAAACGGTCAGATTCACATTTAATTCTACTTTATTTCTGGATGCAACCAAACAATTACTAACACATCAAAATAGTCTCGTTACTTATCGATAAATACCCTCTTACGCCTTCTTTTGGTCATAGCCCTCGAACAGGATTTAGATATAATGCCCACATCCTTCATTCCCATTCGCGTGAGTGTCCTGAAACGAACGATATTAATTTTTTTGACGTAAATGCGGTCTTTTTACTTGTATAGCCCGTTACCATCATTCAGACGCAAAACAGTTGACTCTTAGCAATATTATTGATCGAAGGCTCATCTTGTATGTTTGGTTTCCGTCTTAAAAAAAAATAGCGGTACCGCCCCAGACTCAGAAATCAGATAGGACAGAACTGATATGCCGAAGACAACGAATAGGTAATCGTGCATGATGCTTCACATCCCATCACATCAGCCCTTTCGCCCAAGTTCGTTTGTAATTGGTTTGACTCGGACTTGTCATTGATATAGGAAAGTAAAGAAAGCTAGTCGGACGCAGCGCACAGAACTTGACGCGCCGGGTTGTGGCGTTGGAGATTGTAAGATCGCTGGATAAGTTTGTCCCATATATTGAGGCCTGGACCGTTATGTGTGGCCCTTGTAACGACACCCTTCAGTGAGATATATGATGCTGATTTTTACTGCACTCACGGCAGTCGGCAAAAATGACAGACCAGCTGAGTCATGACCGCAGTCAAACCGCCCGCGGTACGTCACGCCGGCACACAAGCCGCCCACGCCTGAGTAAACGAGAC